GTTGAAACTCCTTTCCTACTTAATTTGGACGCGATATAAATATCAAAATTCATCATATGAAGAGGCAGAACGACCAGGGAGAAGGAAGAGACCAAAATTGGAGGCAAGAAACTTGATTTTGGATTCAATTTCACACGGGCTCGAGACGGGATTGAAGATTATACACACGGATTGAAGAACTTCCATACGGGTGTATTCTTATTATCTTTTAATTTCGTTTTTCAATTTCTTGATTTTGCAATGATGATTATAGGCTAGGGTTTTTGCTCATTTAGGAATTTGATGAACCTTTTGATGATTTAAATTTTCGTTATTTCACAAATTCAACATTAGTTTTGATGGGACAAATGTTTGGTTTATATGCTTTGAATGCTTCCATAATTATTTGGCCAATTATTATGTGATTGTAGATAATTTATTCTTTACATTCGAAAGAAGGGGAATAAATTCGATAGAATATAAATCGACATAGGATCCGATAGGGGATGGAAACTTACCTCTATGCTTTATGCAATTCATGAAAATGTTCATAAAAAGTCATGCATTCTTATACATTGCATCATCCATAGAAATATAGGCTGGTGATGTGTAAGAGTAGATTCAATATATATCGAGAGAGTGTATTGGATAATTTAGGAACATTGAATTGGCATTTTGTTCATCGATTCGTTGAATTTGTGAAATTAGGGTTTCTAATAGTCAATTGGGGATTCAAGTTCTTAATGATTTCATTTCAATTCATTTCAATACAATAATTCTAAAATTGCATTTTTACATTTCAGGTGCAAATTTATTTCATTAGATTAGTGAAATTTTGAAATTAGGGTTTCCAATTTTGAAATTAGGGTTTTCTTTGCAATAGGGTTTCGAATTGGGGATTTCTCCCAAAATTAGGGTTTTCATATTTAAACCAAATTTTCATTCAATTAGATTCGGTTAAGGTCACATTAGTTTAATTAGAGCTAATTTAATCTTCGTGGGAACGATACTTGGACTCATAGTCCACTTTACTACTTGTTAACGAACCGTACACTTGCGGTGGGTTTTAAAATCGAGAAGAAATAATTTTGCGAACAAAATCCTAAGAGATGTTGGAGCGGCTTAAGGAGATCCACCCGACACCGAACATTTTTGTACTTGAGGCGAAGTTCGGTGGACTGATTGAGGGTCGTTCAGACATCGCATCCATCAAGGAAGCTGCTGAGGCTCCACCGGAAGTGGTGGAAGTGGGAGATAGGGCCATAGTGCCAGTAGATTAGGGCCTACAATGTAATGGCTTTGGCATAACTATTGTAATCCTTTCTTATATAAATGAAATTGAATTTATCGCCTAGTGTTGAGACTTCTTTCTTTTATGTTGATCTATTAGTAACTATCATTGTAATTTGGACAAGAGCTTAAGTGAAAACCAAGTAATACTTACCAACATCCAGTAGAAGCACAAAACTAATAGTCCGTGGAGCATAATGATGAACTGAGGTTTCATAAATAACTTGAACTTAACAATATCGTATAAAAAGGCCATTTCAGAACTTAATCAGATAAGAATAAGTTATAATGAGTTGTGGGTCATAAGCAGCTCGGAGTAGGCTATGCATTCATTGGTAATACTTCCTCAAGTGTTCAATGTTCCATTGATGAGGCATCATCCTTCTTACCATATCTTCAATCTCATAAGTTCTGGGTCGGGATTCTTTGATGATGCGGTATGGGTCTTCCTAGTTCGGCCTAAACACTCCGGATCATGTTGGCTTCGATGACGGGAACTCCCTCTTGAGCACCAGGTCACCCAAACATAGAGTTTGGTTCTTAACCTTTGAGTTGTAATATTGGGTCATTTTCCTTTGGTACATAGCCAGTTTGACTTAGGAAGGATCCCTCATTTCTTCAAGGAGGTAGAGTTCCTTCATTCATGTTTTGTAACTGGTGATTTCATTAAAGTGTATTTGTTGATGTGAAGGGACCCCAACTTCAACTAGAGTCATGACTTTAGCTCCATAAGTCATGGAGAAAGGTGTTTCTCCTGTTGCAGTTCGGCTTGTTGTTCATATGGCCTAGACGACATGGGGTAGCTCATCGACCCATGCTCCTTTTAAGACATCAAGCTTCCTTTTTAGAGTGTGCTTGATGATTTTGTTGACAGCCTCGTTGCCCATTTGCTTGGGGATGATGAGGTGTTGAGAAATCCTCCTTATACTGAGTTCGTCACATAAATCTACCATCTTCTTGTTATTGAACTGCCTTCCGTTATCAGTCACTAAGTAGTGGGGAATGTCAAACCTATAAATAATGTTCTTCCAAACGAACTTTGATGTGTTTGCCTCAGTGATTTTGGCTAGAGGTTTAGCTTCAATCCAGTTAGTGAAGTAGTCAATGGCAACAAAGGCAAGTGTTGCACTTCTTCTTCCTTTTGGGAAGGGGCCAATAAAGTCTATATCCCATTTGGCAAAGGGCCATGGGCTGGTGACCATGAAGAGTCCCTGAGAAGGCTATCTCTGAACATTGGTGAACCGCTGGCACTTATCACATCTTTGGACAAATTGACAGGAATCCTTTTTCAGGGTCGACCAGAAATAGCCTTGTCGAAGTACCTTGTGTGCAGGGCTGTTCCACCAAAGTGGTTACGCAAACTCCCTCATGAATTTCTTTTAGAATGTACATGGCCTCCTCTCTTCCAACACATCGGAGTAGGGGTGATGAGAAGTCTCTTCTATACAACACATCATCTTGAAGTATGAAGTGAGCAGCCCTTTTTCTCAACTTCTTTGGTTCGTTCTTTGAGGGTGGTAGTGATTGATCTTTGAGATAGGCTAGAATGAGTTGCATCCAAGGTGGGGTACTTTCAATCCACATTACTTCTTCACCTCCGGAGATGGAGGGCTTCAGTAGGCGCTCGATTGGAACGATTCTTAGCAACTCAGAATCCTTACTATTGGACAGTTTGGACAGGGCATCTGTATGTGTATTTTCGAGGTACAGGACAAGGACCAATTCAAACCTCTTGAAGTGGAGGACTAAGGTCAGAACTAATTTTAGATAAGTAGCCATGCCACTGTCTTTGGCCGCGAATCTTCCATTGACCTGACTCACCACAAGCTATGAGGCGCTACTAGCTTGTAATGTTTTAACTTATATTTCTTTGGTCAGCCTCAGGCCTTCTAAAAAGGCTTTATACTCTGCAACATTGTTTGAGGTCTTGAAGCCTAACTTGATTGCACAGTTTAGCCTTTGGCTCTCTGGGCTTCTGAAGCCACTTTCTCCTGACAATCCATCCACAAATAGCTTCCATGTTGGGGGCTCTGCTGGGTCCATTGTTGTTTCCATTTCTGAGGATTTGGTGAACTCAACAACAAAATCTACGAGGGCCTGGCCCTTGATGGCACTTTGGGGTTTAAATAGCAGGTCAAACTTACTGAACTCAATTACCCATTTTAGCAGTCGACCCGAAGCGTCTATTTTTTGTAACACTTATTTCAGTGGAATGTTGGAAAGGACTTCAATTGAATGAGCCTGAAAGTATGGCCTCAGCTTCCTTGATGCGGTAACAAGGGAGAGTGTAAGCTTTTCCATGTCTGGATAGTGAGTCTCTGCTAGCAGCAGGGCTATGCTGATATAGTATGCTGGCAGCTGACGTGCCTCTTCTTCCCTGATGAGCACTGCACTGACTGCTTCATCCAAAACTGTCAAATAAAATAGGAGTGTCTCACGTGGTATAGGTTTAGACAGTTGGGACACCTCTCCCAAGTGCTTCTTCAGCACTTGGAAGGCTGCCTTACATTTTTCGGTCCATTGGAATTTCTTTTCCTACTTCAGAATCTTGAAGAAAGGTAGGCTCTTATCAGTGGCTTTGGAGATGAAGCAATTGAGTGTAGCAATCCTTCTATTAAAGCTTTACACCTCTTTTGGCTTCTGGGGTGATTTTATCTCTAACAAGGCCTTTATCTTCTCGCGGTTTACTTCAATCCTTCTTTGTTTCACAATTTATCCCAAAAATTGACCCGACGCTACCCCAAAGGTGCACTTCAATGGATTCAACTTCATTTTATATTTCCTCAGAATTTGAAAAGTGTTATGGAGATGACTTGCATGATCCTTTGTGAGGAGGCTTTTGACCAGCATATCATCAACGTAGACTTCCATAGTCTTGTCAATGAGGTCGACGAACATCAGTTGACCAACCTCTTATATGTGGCACATGCATTCTTCAGTCGAAGGGCATTACTTTGTAGCAGTACAATCCTCTGTCTTTGATGAATGATATAGTGTCTTCATCAGGTCGGAACAGGAGTATTTGGTTGTACCCTGAGTAAGCATCCATAAAGCTTATGAGTTTATGTCCAACGATGGAGTCTACAATGTAACGCCCCGACCCCTTGTGGACCAGAACCCTACTTACTTTACTTAACTAACCGGTGATTTAGTCATAGGAGAATATATTTTAGCGGAAGCTTAATTTTTACAATGATAATTTTAACAACAACCTTTCGAATACTTTAAATAAAACACTGAAAAAAAATAATGGAACGTAGTTTATTTGAAGAAAACACAACTTGTTCTCGCGTTCAACGTTATTCAAATAATTTAAAGAAATAACATTGAAAACATTCACAAAAATAAATCTAAATAATTGGTTTACCGGGTTTTATCATGGGCTGGTTGCACCACTCTCCATCTTTTTTATCATCCAGGCCTAAGGTAGAATCATATCAATCTGTAGAGAAGGGGTTAAACCCGTGAGTTAAAAAACTCAATAGATATCATTGGTGCATTCGTGATCAAGCTATACATTTCAAAGCTGTAACTTTAGAAAAAATTTCATAGTAGGATTTCTGGTAGAATCCCAAACACGTAGAGTCATGACTTAACACGATGCCTCGACCGGAAGTACATGCCGTACCCGGAGGTACCATTAGACATGGATGTGTATGCCATACCGAAGGTACCATTAGATATACAAACATTAACATAAATCTTCATTTGCTAGAAACTTATAACTTAATATGAATTAACACTTTGTACCTCTACCTACCTTGATTGATGATTTGAACCTTGTTGAAAAATGCACTCTTTTGATGTTTCAAAAATAAAACTCCGTTGAGAATTGATGCTTGGTAAACACTTCTTGATAGCACCAAAACTTCTAGGAAAAACTAAATTTCCTCTTTCTCCTTTCTCTTTTTTCTAGACTTGAAAACTCTCTCTTTTATGCTTAGAAGCTTTTGTCTTGATGTGAAAAATGCGTATGCATTGGTGCTTATTTATAGGTGAAAATCTCACAACTTAAGGGCAAGTGAAGGACCTAATATTCATTAATACGGGTGTCATTTATGTGGGAGTTATAGGTTTAAAAAGGTGCTAGAAAATCGTGTAGGAATTTGACTTTTCATATTCCGCGTACTTCGATTGATACTATACAGTTTTTAGTATTCTTATCATAACTTCTTCTCACAATATTCGATTGAGGTAATTCAAAGTGTATTGGAAAGCTAACTCAAAGACTACAACTTTTCTTTAGATATCATTTTTCAAATCGAATGTTTTCTATGTCGTAAATGGGTCTCAAATGAGACTAAAAATCTGAAGTATACTTTAGCCATCCAATATTCATGTCTTAGTGCTACTAAGGTGTTTAAAATTATTTGGGGTTCTATATCCCCCACACCTTAATTAAAATTTCATCTTTGAAATTTACCTTATGATTAGGCGAATAGTATTGGATACTTGTTTTTGGCTTCCTCTTCCCCTTCCCAAGTGGTCTCTTCTATTCCATGATTATTCCATTATATTTTGACCAATTGAATTTCTTTGTTCCTTAGTTTATGCGCCTTTCGATCCAATATCCTAATTGATACCTCTTCATAGGATAAGTCCTTTTGTACTTCCACGGACTGATAGTTCACTACATGATTAGGATCATACACGTATTTCTTGATCATTGATACATGGAAGACGTTGTGCACTGTCGATAACCCAGGTGGGAGAACTAACCGATAGGCTACATTTTCGACCCTATCAAGTATCTTGAATGGTCCGATATAGCGGGGTCGTAGCTTTCCTTTCTTGCCAAACCTAAGTACACCTTTCATTGGTGTCACTTTGAGAAACACTTTTTCTCTAACTTTGAATTCTAAATCATTCCTCCTTGTATCCGCATAGCTCTTCTGTAGATCCTGTGCTGCCTTTATCCTTGCACGGATCTTATCGATTGCCTCAACTGTCATTTCAACTATTAATGGTCCCAAAACTCTCTTCTCACCGACTTCATCCCAATGAATAGGGGACCTACATCTTCTACTATAGAGAGCTTCGTACGATACCATCCCGATAGTTGCTTGGAAGCTGTTATTATATGTGAATTCTACTAGGGGAATATATGACTCCCAACTACCCCCTAGATCCAAAACACATGCTCTCAGCATGTCTTCCAAAGCTTGAATGGTCCTTTCAGATTGACCATCGGATTGAGGGTAATATGCTATACTAAAGTTCAGCTTCGTTCCCATAGCTCCTTGTAGACTTTTCCAAAATTTGGACGTGAACTTTAGGTCTCTGTCAGACACAATGGACACAGGTATGCCGTATAATCTCACAACCTCCTTAATGTACAATCGTGCCAATTGGTCTAAACTGAATGTCATTTTCATTGGAAGAAAATGAGCTGACTTTGTTAATCGATCCACTATTACCCATACAACGTTGTTTCCTCTTGCTGACTTCGGGAATCCAACTACAAAGTCCATTGTGATATTTTCTCATTTTCATTTAGGTATGTCCAGTGGATTTAACAATCCAGCAGATCTTTGGTGTTCTGCCTTAACCTGTTGACATACCATGCACTTTTCCACGTACAACCCTATACTTCTTTTCATATTTCTCCACCAAAATGTATCTCGGAAGTCTCGATACATTTTCGTACCACCGGGATGTGCGGTGTACGGCGTGGAATGGGCCTCTTTCAATATCTCGTTTCTCAAGGTTTCATCCTTACGCACACAAATTCTCCCCTTATATATCAGTGCCTGATCCGAAGCTATTCCAAAATCCTTTCTCTTATCAGTACCAATTTTATTCTTGATCTTCAACAAGAATGGGTCATTACCTTGTATCTCTATAATTCGATCTCTAAGAGTAGGTCGAATAATCAAAGCTGCTAGACGAGCAGTGACTTGTCCTGGTATGGTAACCACTTCAATCTGCAACTTTTCCAAGTCCTTGACTAACTCCATTTGAAAAGTGGGCAGTGACGCCAACTGTCCCATTGATTTTCTACTTAAGGCCTCGGCCACAACATTAGCCTTACCTGGGTGGTAATAGATAGCGGATAGTGCAATCGTAATCATTCACCAATTCCAACCATCTTCTTTGTCGCATATTCAATTCCTTCTGTGTGAATAAATATTTCAGACTCTTGTGATCTGTGTAGATATAGTACTTCCCTCCATACAAGTAGTGTCGCCATATCTTCAAGGCGTGTACTACTACCGCAAGTTCTAAATCATGCGTCGGGTAGTTCTGCTCATGTTTCTTCAATTGTCTTGATGCATAGGCTATCACTTTTCCATTCTGCATCAGCACGCATCCCAATCCTTGCTTGGATGCATCACTGTATATAACAAACCCTTCTGTACCCTCAGGTATTGTTAACACGGGTGCTGATATCAACCTCTGTTTAAGTTCTTGGAAACTTTGTTCACATTTATCCATTCATTGGAATTTTACTCCCTTCCATGTAAGTTGCGTCATTGGTCCAGTTATTTTGAAAAATCCTTCTATGAATCTCCGATAATATCCTACTAATCCTAGAAAGCTCCGTACCTCGCCAGCATTAGTTGGTGCTTTCCAGTTGGTTACTACTTCCACTTTCACTGGATCTACCTCAATCCCTTGGGCAGTGACTATATGTCCAAGAAATCCAACTCGTTCAAGCCAGAACTCACACTTCTTGAATTTGGCATACAGCTTCTCCTTGCGTAATACCTCTAATGCTATTCTTAGGTGCTCTTCATGTTGCTCCTTACTCTTGGAATATATCAGAATGTCATCAATGA